TTGATGCCACTAGAATCTGAGAAAGGCGTGCCTGTGCGCGCACGCACACCCCCCACCACCACCAAACACACACACATACACACATTCTCCAGGGAGAACACAGTCCTGCTGACCTGATACCTTCATTTTGGTCCACTGAGAATATTTCTGACTTCTAACTCCTGGAACCATATGATCACAGATCTATGTTGTTTTAAGTCACTGAATTTATGTTACAGCATCAGAAGGAAATGGACACAACCTGTACATCCAGCCAACAACTGCTCATTTCAAGCCCACCCACCCCCACCCCACCGCTACTTGGTCTGTGCACATTGATATCACAGTCTTATTGCAAGGCAGTTTGTGTAAACCAGCCAACCAAGCATCCCTTTCTCTCTAGCATAGGACTGGATTGAGAAATACACTTTTCAAACGGTTGCTCAATGCTTATATCAAGTATTTTTGTGCTCACTAAGGTAAAATAGCCCTAGAATAAGTCAACGAGTTGTTCTTGATCTGAAATGGCATGACCTTTCAGTGGTAAGCCCAACAATTCATTCAATAAAGGAAGAATACCGTTTCTCTCTTAACAGTTCCTTTTCTATTTTCTTATTTTCAAAACAAGACAAGCGCTACTGAGTGGAATGTTAAGAGGAATACCCGAGTCCAGAGGAGAACCAAATGCACTTACTTCCTACATGTCAGTTTTGGGAGACGGCATATGCTGGGGGCCTAATCAGATGTCTTCTAAAGAGATAAACTCTGGCTCTACCCTCAGCTACTAAGTTTGCTTAGAGGGGTCACCAAGGTGCTTCTTCCACAAGAAATCTCACCTCTGTAATCAAAGGTGACCACATGGTAACCAAGGGAACTCAGCACCTGTGAAGTGAAAAATAAACATTTTTTGGCAACAAATGCAATCACCTCTGATGAGGACAGCTTTACCCTCTGACTAGTCACCCAAGTTCTGCCTTGAGGCCCTGGTCTTCTAGCTTGGGGGTCTTTCAACAGCTAGCAAAAGGGGCAGGGGACCCAAAAGGAAAGGAACTTCAGAATATAGACGTGACTTAAGACCCTTTTCTACAATCCAGCATTTTTCAGATTTTAAACTTTGGTGGAGCCTTTTCTTGCTGTACCTCCACTTGGATCTCTACTCCAAGTCCGCGCCAACAGAACTGGATTATGAGAGGTAAGGGTCACACAGAAGAACTTACTATGTATGTCCCCACTTGGGTGCTGAGAAATGTGAATTACACTAACAGGCTGTACCCACTGTATTATGTTCCCCTCCTCAGGAAATACAGCAGGCCACTTCCCCACAGCTGCTTTTTATCTGTAAACAGTTTCCTTTGGTATGTCCCTTATACCACACAATGTTCCCTGTGTATCTCTTATATCACAAGTCACACACAAAACCTGTTTCTAATGTTCTCTCAACTGAGGTGACTATAGAGTGGTGTGCATATGAAGATGTGCATTCTCTCACAAGAAGAGAATATATTGCATATTTTGGACTGTTCTGGGAACAATGTCCAGTGTCAATATCTGGCAAGTGTTTTCTAACCTGAGTTTTCTCAGTGGCTGTGAGAGGTTAGAAGGTGGAGAGATTGCAGTGACTGACCTATCAGGTTTGTTTCTTTGAAATGATCTAATCTGGAACACATAATCTGTTTAGAGCTGGCCCAAAAGGTACTCCCTAAAAGATTTAGACCTATTTCAGTCTTTATAGTTGGTTGTACAACATTTTTAGCACATTCACTGGGAAGCAGGGCTACACAAGGTCCACTCTGGTGCCCTTCATGGAAAAGAACCAACAGCAAGGCTGAGTCTGTGGAGCAGGGGTCCTCAAACTACAGCGCATGGGCCACATGCAGCCCACCAAGGACATTTATCCGGTCTGCCGGGTGCTTTTGCCCCATTTGTTTTTTAACTTCAAAATAAGATATGTGCAGTGTGCATAGGAATTTGTTCATGGGTTGTTGTTTTTGTTTTGTTTTGTTTTTTAACTACAGTCTGGCCCTCTAATGGGTCTGAGGGATAGTGAACTGGCCCCATTTAAAAAGTTTGAGGACCCTTGCTGTGGAGGGTCTGCTCCATTGCTGGGTATAAGGAAATGCTCTATTCCCAGGTTTTAAGGCTTTTGGGGAACATGAAGGTATTCAGTCCCCTACCTTAAAATGATCCAATATATAAAATTCAAAGGGAAAATTGCTCTCTAACACCCAGGGCTATAATGGACCACACATCTGCTTATGCTCTTTCCTGCCCTGCTAGCAAAGGGAGGGAAGTTAAGGAAGACAATCACGAGTGACTATGACACTCACACATCACTGATAAAGGCAGAACAACCAGCAGGCATGCACCCCGGTACCACTTGGGTGCACCTCCTCCCATATTTGAGGAGTCCAGCTAGCACATTTGCTGAGTGTGTCTTGTGTGTCTGATTGGATTGTGTGTCTGATTGGATTCTGCGGGTGCAGCATATTAGATATGGGGAATTAGGTCTATGCCAGCCTTAGTCTGTGACCCCTGTAGTGCAGTCACACTTCCTGATCACAGAACTTTCTTTGTGTTTATGAGGACCACAACCCTTATAAAGGTAATTCCAAACACATTTGATGTCATTTGCCAATATCTGGAGTGTGATCCCCTCATAGGAGCACTCTGGAAACCCTTTCAAAGCAGGGTCAGCTGGGGGACTGTCTTCCAATAGTTCCACAAAAGGCCATGATCAACTTTCAAAATTATGTCTTGCTTTTGTTTTCCTAAAAGGATAACTAGAAAGTAGCATGTGAGGTATCACATGCACACACTATCAGTGTCACTCTGTGCATATACCTTACCTTGTATAGCTCCACACGGTGGTCCCCTCCCCTACAATGTCATGGGAGAAGAAATAAGAAAACAGGTATTAGCCCTGAGAAGAAACAAAGAACCAACTACAAGCAGATATATGCACATCCATGCTCATAATAGCACTATTCACAATAGCAAGAAGATGGAAACAACCCACTTGCCTAACATTGGGAAAATGGATAAATATGGGCAATGAATGTACAAATGCGCTTTACACAATTGATGTGTGTATGGATTGTGATAAGAGCTGTATGAGCCCCTAATAAAATGGTTTTTTTTAAATAACAAAAAATAAGTAAAAGATGAGAAATCAGAGTTTTAATAAATCTGGCTAGACCATAGGATGTACACTGGTACAGACAGGAACTGGAAACACAGGGAATCCAGGTCGGATGATCCCTTCAAGACCAGTGGTGTGAGTAGCAATACCGGGAGGGTGGAGGGAGGATGGATTGTAAAGGGGGAACCGATTATAGGGATCTACATATAACCTCCTCCCTGAGGGACGGACAACAGAAAAGTGGGTGAAGGGAGACATTGGACAGT